CAATGGCAGCGTGTTGGTGCTGAGCTAAACCTTGCTAGCAAATTTACAGCAAATGCGATATCAGGTCGAGTACATTGAGCTAAGTACAATAATGCGCCTATTGCACTTAGGTACGGCACTTCAGGTGCTAACACTTCTTCGTCCTCCTCCACAGGACGGAACGGATCCTTCGACCTATCCAATGATCGGACTACCATAGGCGTGCTCGATGGTTTCGCTTTATCCATATTAAAGCGTCTTAACATCTTCTAGATGTAGTTCGATTGATGGACCAAAATTCCATCAGCACGGTGTACTATCTCAAGTCCGAGACAGAAATTAGTCCTACCGAGATCTTTCATCTCAAACTCATGTTTTAAGAGTTGGACTGTTTCACGGACTTCTTCAGGAGTCCCAATCAAATTCATATCATCAACATAAACTGCTACAACAGCAAACCCAGAACATGTTTTCTTAATAAACACGCAAGGACAAATATCATTGTTCACGTATCCCCTTCCGAGCAAGTATTCACTTAGGCGATTATACCACATTCTTCCAGATTGTTTCAAGCCATAAAGTGATCGTCTCAACCTAACTGAGATCGTGTTCCGTGGTCTGGAACTAATTGCTTCGGGTAATCGAAGTCCTTCAGGAACTTTCATATATATACTCGTATCTAGATCCCCATATAGATAAGCTGTGACCACATCCATGAGCTGCATAGTCAGTTCCTCGGATACAACCAAACTGACTAGATATCTGAATGTAATAACATCCATAACAGGAGAATATGTCTCCTCAAAGTCAATCCCAGGTTGCTGAGAAAATCTTTGTGCTACGAGACGAGCCTTATATCTCATAATCTTGTTTTTCTCATTTCGTTTCCTTATGAATACCCATTTATATCCCACGGGTATCACTCCAGGAGGTGTAGGAGCTACTGGCCCAAACACTCCCCTTTTTACCAGTGAGTCGAACTCAGCCTGGATTGCTTTTTCCCAATTCGGCCAATCATCCCTCTGTTTACATTCATCAATTGATCGAGGCTCAATATCATCACTCGATACAATTTCAGTAGCTACTGTGTAAGCAAACACATCATTGATGATTATTTCATCCCGATGCCACACCTCATTCATGCATGAATAACTAACCGAGATTTCTCTATTCTCGAGAATGGATACTAATGTCGAGGCGTCCCCCGATTTCGTCTCCAAGACGGATCCATAGTCCGGAACTATTTCATGAGATGGATCGGGTGGGATCCCATTATTACTATTGCTAACCTCATTCAACTGTTGGGCATTCATCTGCTTCCGGGGATGAGAATCCTTTGATCCAATTGGTCTCCCTCTCTTCTGGGCAGGGAGATATGATTGGTTAGCAGGGACTGATGGCCTTCCCACGTTTTGTCCTTCTGGGACATCTATCCTTGCAGGCACGTTTGCAGCTGGTATATGAGATCTCGTCACTTTTTCTAAGTCAGAGAATGAGTCTGGCATATTATTGGCTACTTTCTGTAGATCTATGAGTCTACGTACTTCAAACTCTCTAACTGAAGTAGGGGGATCATGATGAGACACAGTGGGGTCATTCCATACAACTTCACGCCGTTCTTCAGGAACGTTAGTGTGAACGTTCTTTCCTCCCCCTAACGGCGGGAAGACGGTCTCATCAAAGTGACAGTCCGCGAATCGAGCGGTAAAGAGATCGTCTGTCAAGGGTTCTAAATATCGTATTATAGATGGTGATATGTAACCAACATAAATGCCCAATCTACGTTGAGGTCCCATCTTGGTCCGTTGTGGCGGAGCAATCGGCACATAAACTGCACACCCAAATGTGCGTAAATGAGAAACGTTTGGTGTACTTCCGGACACCAACTGTAACGCAGAATATGGTTTGGTTGCAGTGGGCCTCAATCGTAATAACATAGCTGCGTGCAATATTGCATAGCCCCAAGCAGAGATTGAAAGTTGGGTGCGCATTACCAAAGTTCGTGCATTCCTCTGTAAATTCTTAATAAATGCCTCTGCAAGGCCATTTTGGGTATGAACATGCGCTACAGGATGTTCTATGTCAATACCTAAAGACATGCAATATTCGTCGAAAGACCGCGACGTAAACTCTGCAGCATTATCCAGTCGAATAGACTTAATGGGATAATCTGGATAGTGTGCTCTCAATCTTATTATTTGAGAGAGGAGTTTAGCATAAGCAGCATTCCTCGTAGACAACAAATCGACCTGTGACCACTTAGTCGAAGCATCAACCATCACCAAAAAATATTTAAAAGGTCCACATGGTGGTGAGATGGGGCCACATATATCTCCTTGGATTCGTTCCAAGAAACCAAGAGAATCTTTACTAGTTTGTGCATAAGCTGGCATAGGATCAAGTTTTCCAATAGAACAGGGTACACATATCTTATCATTGTGTACAAGATCCTTATTTGTTAGTGGATGCCCAATAGATGTGTTAATAATTCGGCGCATCACACTTTGACCCGGATGTCCCAGTCGGTCATGCCATAGAAAATATTTGCTCGGATCACTAGACTTCGAGCAATCGACAAGGTGTGCTTCTGGCACTCGAATTCTGGTTCTATATAACCCTATCGAAAGTCCCTCTAATTTTTCCAAGGTACGCTTCTGGCCGTACACGTTAGAGGTGATGCACATATATTCGATCCCCTTTTCATCAGTTGTTTCAACATGATAACCATTGGCTCGAATATCTTGAAAACTCAGCAGCGTTCTACTGGAACGTGGAGAATAAAGAGCTTCTCTAATGGTCAGAATTGTGCCATGAGGTAACATAATATGGGCATTACCATAACCATCTATTATACTAGATGTGCCTGATATAGTAGTCAAAGAAGTCTTACTAGACATGAAACTAACAAAATATGACTTATCCCTAAGGATAGTGTGCGTTGTCGCACTATCTGCCAGACATTCATCCCCACATGCCATGTCTAGAAAGATAAATAAATCTAATCATATATTCCGCAATTGAAAATACTTTAATAAAATCCAAACAAGATAACTCTATCGAGTACCATATAAACTAAATTAAAACATAGCCATATAAAATATAGTCCAGAAAATAAAGCACAAACATAATCCAAATACGAAATTGGTACATAAGCATGACCAAATAAACAACATAATTTAAAACTGATAAACTAAAAACATAAAAGAACATAATGTCTAAGCTCATAAAATAACCCTCCAATCATATTCCAAACTGGGTCATTGGGTCAGATGTGCCCAGATTTGGAAGTCGAGCAATGGGCTCCTCATTGAGAACATTTATCTCAACCAAGTTGGTCTCCGGTGGTGCATTATTATTTACACCACCAACCATAACGTTCCTCGCACGACAGGTGCGTGACCAATGCACTGTTCCACCACACCTATGACATGTATCTCTATTCTGATTTTGATTCTCATTCGGGGCGCTATTCTGCTGCCCACCTCTAGGTCGAGCATTGTTACATCATCTTCGCATATTCCCCCTTTGCCCATACTGTGGGGGACCATTAGGTGGCCTATTATAAGGAACATGTCCGCCCCTATTACCCCGTCCTCTCACTCGACGATTGAACCCCCGGCCTCTGCCTCCTCCACGGTTGTTTCTGTTGACCAAATTTGTTTCTGGCAAAGGTTGAGGATTTCGATTGACCAAATTTGCTTCTGGCAAAGGTCGAGTACCAACTGGTCCAGCCTGGTTGTTCTTCAAAAGAAGATCAAGGTTCTTCTCGGCAAGGAGCAGAACTGTGACCAACTCTGAAAATTGAGTATAGTTCTTGGCTCTGTACTATTGAGACAGTATCATATGTGAGGCAGGGAATGTAGAGTATGTCTTCTCCAGAATCTCAGCATCAGTTAGTTTCTCTCCACAAAACTCCAGGGTGGATTTGATGCGACATACTTCAGAGTTATACTCGTTAACGGTTTTGAAGTCCATAAACCGTAAGTGAATCCATTTGTTTCTTGCTTCAGGCAAGAGGATTGTCTTTTGGTGATCAAATCGACTAGCCAGGGCATCCCATAGTATTTGGGGATCCTCAATCGATGAGTAGTCCAAATGGAGGACCTCATCTAGGTGCCTCCTAATCAGAATCATAGCTTCAGCCTTCTGGGCTTCGTTAAGCAGATTTTCTTTAACAATAGCCATCCTCAGTTTCTTACTAGTGAGATGGATCTTAACATCCATTGTCCAACTCACGTAGTTCTCACCAGATACATTCAAAAGGGTGAAATCAAGTTTGCTCAAATGTTCCATCCTATCGTACATAGACAAAGAATACATGCGAATCAAATTATTGTGTATCACTTTTATGTCATGAAATTTGCATATGACGTGATACAACCTCATATAGCATATATGACTCGCATAGAATTCACATATATTTCAACCAGTTCATGATTATTAGGCAAACCGATTGTTTCATGCACACAGAATATTCACAGGGATGATTTTATTCACTGAAATAACATTAAATGTCCAAACATATACACAAAATATTCATAGTGAAATCATTCTACAAGAATATTACATATTACTAATCTTGACAAACAGATTAATTCATAAACTTCTTATCTTCATTCACCAACAAAGTACAACTCGTATAACAATCTATTCATGAATCATACAGTACTCGAAACATCAACCGAAATTTTCAGACAAATACAATGACATCAAATAAATATGCTACACAACTTTTCATGCTAATTCGAATTTATCTAGCATGCATTCATATAATAAAGAATTTCAAGGGGTTAAGGCTTACTTGAAAATTGATAAAATTCAGATACTATAGAGAAGATTATACGTTCTACGAAAGTAGATCACCGTTTTACAAACGAACCACGCTCACAATTTCTCCAAGTATTCTAGCCCCACGAACAATTGTTCTTCCACGATCACCGCGAGCAATTCGTGCTGATAACGTGTTGTAAATCGCCCTAATGGTATTGCTCTTCGGTTTGATGATTGTGGAAAATAAAGTAAGACAACAGAATACAAGATTGAGAGAGAATGCAAGACAAAATCCGTA